GTCATGTCGGATGTCATGTTACGTGCTAAGTTCTGGTTTGGTCTCTCACGTCGTGTATCATCCCGTGCTCATCTTTTAGCGATCTGCACATGAAACGCACGTGCAATGGCGTCTAGTGCAGTGAGCCCCGTGAGAACCTGCTGCACCATGTTCAAACCGTTTGTAGGTCAAGGTCGTATGAAGAGAATGTCATGCTCACCCTATTACTCCCCCACCTCCATCCCCATCCCCATCTTCATTCCCATCCCCAATCCATTACTTCCCCCACCCCCACTACAATCCCCATCCCATAACCGCTACCACCCCACCCCACCTCATACCCACCTCCATCCACATCCCCAACCCATTAACACCCCACCCCCACCACAATCCACCTCCACCCACATTCCCACCCTATTACCATCCCCATCTCCTTCCCCAATTTCTACACCATCCCCATCTCATTACCACCCCCAACCTACATCCACATCCCCACACCAATCCTACCATCTTATCCTCGCCCTTCAAAAAGGTCCGTGACGATTTTTTTTACAACAGCGATTCACATTGATTATATTTATATTTTAGGGCTATATTAACATTGAGTGTATTAATATAATGCAATTTAAACCAAATGGAATAACACGCTAAAATTTTTTGTTTTAAAATTACTTTTTCAATTAAAAAAGTATGTCGTCAAACCCACTGAATCTTCCCGACGTCCGTCACTAAACTCCAATCACCTGAATATTCTAGAAGCGTGTGGTTGTTGATAAAAGACCCATGTTCTTCATTACGTATAACATAAGCAATCACTCAATCAAATCCATGTTTTAAAAAACACTCATGCATTTATACTGAGCGATAGATTTGGCTTCAGGTCTAAAGAAACTGCGTTTGAAACTATATAAAAAATAATATTCACATTTTATTTCACAAATCAGCACAGGATTAACCATGAAGGTTATATAACAGAGATAACACATTATATAAAATAATATTAATGGGTTATATTTGAAAAAAACCTTCTGGAAAACGTAAGTTACAGTATATGGTAAAATAATCTATAAATAATTCACATGTAAATAATCATTAAAACGTTGATGAAATTTCGAAGCCATAAGGTAAAAAAAAAATACTCGGGTAGAATTCCAAGCTGGAACAAGTTCCATAACCTCGTCAGTTCGACGCCCGGAGTTGCTTATCTTTCATGGTCACGTGGTCTGACGTTTGAAGCGGGTTTTCCCGTTTTTTTACCCCTTTCGTGAGTAGTGACAAAAAACAGGGTCCGTTTTTACTCAAGGGACTTTATCAAAAAAGATGATGTGAGTGTGGGGTGTGAGGGTGGGGTGTTAGGGGCAGTGTGAGGGGCAGTGTGAGGTGAGGTGGCTCAGTGAACAACGCGCACCCAGCGACACCAACAAAAAGGGTGACATTACTACAAAGTCGCAGGTCGTAAACTCGGCGCAAGTTTTATAGATGCTGGTGTTTAAAGACCTACCCAGCAGGCGGTGAGGTGTACATATGGGTTAGGTTAAGGTTAGGTTTATTTTGTTAGCTGCTCCCTGAGCTGAACTGTTTTTTTTTAAATATGAATATTATGACGCAGGGTGTGAAGTGTTTCCGGGAAAGGATTAATGGCGTAATGGGGTTTTGTGGATAAATTCATTCTCCCCTTCCCAGTAGAGCAACATGTTTTCCTGGGCGTCCGTGCACTTCTCTACTTCCCCGCTTAACAACATACGGTGTAAAGCTCCCTGGCGGTCCATGGGGAAGTAGAGTTGACCTGTTTCTGTGACCTCAGCATATGAATGGATAGTGTGGTTAACATTATGCCCAGCCGCCTTTACATTCTCTAACTTGACTTAGGCACATATCAAAGCTGGATTAACTCTGGGACGTTCTACTGACTTGAACCTGGATTCGAAACCTTCGGGTTAGCGGTCTAGCGCTCTACGGCGAGGCCACACCGTCGTCCTTTCTTTAGTCGTCCTATTCTGTATTACAGCCCATATGTGTTCGTCACGTGACTATCCTAATCCTTCAAACATGGCCGTCACAGAGAGAAAACAAAAGCCCACAGAAGTGAGCTAAATGTCTGAGCTCAACTTTTGAACTCCACGTTTAACCTCCTTGTATTTTGTTAAACTTCGTTCAACTCCTAAGTCAAAGAGATGCTGTTTTCTCTTGATGTAAATTGTGCCTTGCTTCTCAAAGGTGATGGGGAAACATGCTTTAGATAAATCGGTAATAGGATAAAAAAAAACAACTGGTCTTTATTTAAAGGTTAGAGCTGCAAGCATGCTGAGGCGAGTTAACGTTTTTTTTTTTTATACAAACTTAAGTGTTTAGCTTATGTCATCGTTATGACGTATTTCCGTTTTGTTTTAAGCTGCTCTCGTTATAGCATGTGCTAAATGCGAATAGAGTTCTTTGTCTATGCAGTTGATGAGATATATGTAGCCAATCATATATATATATATATATATATATATATATATATATATATATATATATATATATATATATATACATCCTGCTAAATATAGATAAAATCTAGTTTATTTGGCTTCACTTAATTCTCGGTCAATGGTTTTAAACGTTCCATTTTACAAGTAAAATATATTTCCAAACTGGGCAGATGAAACAGATTTCGGCTAAGATCTACACATTGTAGCTGTGGTGGTGTAGGTTAGGCACCCATTAAGGCTGAGTGGACTCATTGACTCGTAGAGAGAACAGAAAGAGCTATATAGGATGATGGAGCGAATGGGACGATGGTAAGTGTAGGGATTCAGTGTTAAAGAGCTGGTGATTCAATACCGTATTATCGATACCTTTATGGAAAATATGATTCGATACCCTGTTTTCGATACCTGAATGGAAAATATGATTCGATACAGTGTTATCGATATTTGAATGGAAAAGATAATTCAATACCTGTTATCGATATCTACATGGTAAAGATGATTCGATACGGGGTTATCGATACCTTATTTTCTCTGAAGGTTTGTCTCAGACGTACTTGGTGACCAATTCGTCATCTCAAATCTCTCTAAATTTAGGGTGGGATCGGGTATTTATGGTGAGGGGAGATAGAACTCGTGTATCTTGTAAGATTTGTCTACGTTTGGGTGGTGACGGGCGCTGAGTTTAAAGTTTATTGGACGGGATGGGGGTGTGGAGGTCAAGTGTATAAGAAGGTGTTGAAATGTAGGTGTTGTCTCTAGGTGGGGGAGGTTTTATGAGGTTGCTCTCGTGCAGTGGTGTTGAGTTTATGGTTGGTTTCACGTGGGCGTTAGAGTGTGGGTGATAGCAAGGAGGTGGTAGGGTGGGGTTGGGTTTGAACTGTCTTGCTTCACCTACGCAATCAACCACATTACGACTCCCACCTACAAACAACGCTTATAATTCAACACCTAATATATATATATATATATATATATATATATATATATATATATATATATATATATATATATATATATATATATATATATATATATATATATATATATATTCTCACCATGACAGCTGTGAACAGTGTAATATAAATAGAAAATTGTCTAAACGTACATATTTATTATTTTATCACGGACCAACAATACTTAAGTAATCACAACGCCAAGAATGTCACACATATATAATGTATTCGTCCACTGATTTCCAGTGTTTCTTCCAGACTTTTTTCTTCGGGGGAGGGGGGGCACTTGAAGTTTTTTTTTGGGGGGGGGGGGGGGCGGACTAAATTTCCGGTATATATTTTCTATATAAATTTCGTTTTGTTCGGGTAGACTTTCTTCGCCCCCCCCTCCTCCCTCCCAAGATATGCCTGGAAGAAACTCTGCAGACGGCATAGACAAAAGCGATGAACTTTTTCAAATGACGTCATGCTGACACAATAGTTCTGAGAAACTAAAACAAATGTCCATAAACTAGGCAATGGGTGGTTTCAAGAACCTGTTGAGTGCTGTATTTTTAGGTTTTAAAGCAAGATTCGCATAATTTTTTTTTACAAACTGGGCCTATCTTCGAGACACCCATGTGTTTCTCGTTCAGACGTAAATTTTTTTTAAGCTTGAGACAAGAGAATAAATAAAGCTATAAATTCCGGTGACAATATCACCTTTATTCGCGTGCCTACGCGCGCACGTGAGAATTTTACTCGCCTTTATGATTTAAACGTAAAAAACCCACTAAAATAGCATATAAAAAACAACAACAGAACAATCATAATGGAGAAGAAAAATCGGAAATTCCCGATAGGCTTATCACGGCGGCTGACACGCAAACCGTAAGCCGAGCAGCCCCGCTAATGAAATCTCCGCTTGCCACTTTGGTTTATCGTGCGCAGGGACAAACCCTTGTCAGACAGACCCTGATTCGGCGCGTTCCACCGAACCCGTCCCCCAGCGATAGCTCGTGCAGAACTTTCGAGACGGGCTGGTATTAAGGCCGAAATAAATTGGTATTTTGAACTTTATCTGACGGGTTTGTTTTACCTTCTTAATCCGACTTTTTCGTTTACTTCTTTATTCTCTCTATTTCTCTATTTCTCTCTCTCTCTCTCTCTCTCTCTCTCTGTATATATATATATATATATATATATATATATATATATATATATATATATATATATATATATATATATATATATATATATATATATATATATATATATATATATATATATACATATACATATATATATATATATATGTATATATATACATATATATATAGGCCTATAGATATATAGATATATCACCTTCACATTTAGCACCACCATAGCGCATGTGAGTAAAAAAACAACGCACGGCGTAGGCCATGATTCTGCGCGCGTTTCCGTCAAGAAACGTTCAACATTTCTTTGTGAGCAGACGAGAGCGTCACGGCCCGCGGCATTCGGATTGTCCGCGCGTTAACTGCAGCTAAGTGAGCACTTCAAGCCGGTGGTGGGGGGAGGGGGGAGTAAAGTGGGGGGAGCTGGGAGCATTACCGGCATCAGCGCCGGTGTCGCCGTCTACGTTACTTCACGTGCATCCAGAGACTCACGCGTATAGAGAGCGCAGACTGTCGCGATTGTTGGCATTGCTAGACTGTGTTGTTAGCATAGCTAGACATTCACGTTTTGCAAAGAACGCAAATCGTATTCCGGCTTTTATCCACGTACAGTCAGCGATTAATTCATTTATTCATACTAATTTAAAACGTTGGATCGTTTTTATTTGACAAAAGTTTGCTGAAAAACTAATATATTTAATTGTTTTACACAAGTCGTCGTATATATATATATATATATATATACATTTAATCTGCCGCAAACTATTGTATATATATAGTTTACACGCAAAGTTAGTTCCTGTATAACCAAACCTAAATAAATTATATATTACTGTAAACATTCTTCTCTCAAAACGACAGATGTGAATATAATTTTAAACACAGATCAGATCATCACGTGGTTTCGTACATCGAATGTTTCACATTATTTTTCATTCCTCACGAGAGACGATTTATGCTCGTCTGTATTGAACTGAATACATCAAACTTGTTATTTAATTTTTGATTTTCTTTGAAGTTGAGAACCGGATGTGGTTCAAGTCTGTCGGGAAAACTTGTCGTTTTTGGATGCTGGATTGAGATCTTCGACTAACAAGTTTACTTGTCGTTTATATTATTACACGTATGGTGTTTGGTGAAGTGTACATGGTTAACTATATATAGGGTCAAGGCTTAACGTCAGTGGATCGAAAGTTTAACAAAGGCGTCTCCGGAGTTGACAAAGTTCAAACAAAGTTTATCAAACAATCAGTTTAACAAAGGATAACCCGTGTTCAGTGAAGCGTGTAAAATTATAACAGTAAATTTGACAAGTTGCTAGTTTGATGTCTAAATACTTTAACGAAGTTGTCGTTTATCGTGATTTGTGATAGACTTCATTGGATTGTTCAACCCTAATCGGAGAGTTGTAAAGCTAATCAGAGAGCTTAACGCTATTCGGAAAGTTAAACCCTAATCAGAGAGTTCAACCCTAATTAGAGTGATTAAAGCTCACTTACACCATGTTCCTCAATGTCATATCCCCTCTTGCTGTTTGTGTCATTTTGATGACAGTCCAGATGACATTTGGAGAGGAATACAAAGGGTAAGTTTGATACATAAAACGTTTGATCATTGATTAGCTACATTGTTACGTTAGTGTTGATAATATTAATTATAATCATAACACTAAACATAAGATTACAAGACTACTGTTAACCCAATATACTTATTTTCTGAAGAATATATTGTTGGGCATCAGTAATTTTAATACCCCTTACTATCTAGTACATATCTTCTACCTTAGAAGTTAAGTTTAGCTTAATGTTGTGAAATGTGAAGTTCAGCTTAATGTTGTGAAATGTGAAATGTAAAGTTTTGCTTGATGTTGTGAAATGTGAAAGACCTTACATATAGAAAGTATATTTTTAATTTTAACATACTAGTATTGCTTACGTAATCTGATAAGTACTACACCCCCACCACCCACTCTCTCAGCTGGTCAGAAACACTCTACAATCCAAAACCACACTATTCCTGATTCCGCTAATAAAAAATCTTAAAACATTAAATACACTTGGCGTCTAATTAATTAACACGCTAATCAAAATCATCGCAAATCACGAGTGTAAATTAGGACAGACAGACAGTCTCCAGGAAAACTTGGCGAGAATCAAGAGCTTTTAGACAGATAGCCATCTATGGAACCAGGGGCGTAGCCAGGGGAATAGTAGGGGGGTGATAGGGAGTGTGGGGAGGGGGGGGGTGAGAGTTTGGGGAAAGATGAGATCAAAGAGCATGTGGGGATGGGTGAGGGTGTGTGTGGGGAGGAAGGTGCGAGAGTGTATGTGAGCGTGTGTGTGTGGGTGGGGGGAGGTGAGTGTGTGTGTGTGTGTCAGGGGTGAAAGTGTGTGTTGGCTGAGTGAGAATTAAGGGAATAGTCCTTCAATATCCCACTCTTTTCATTTTTATAGTATTGCGGTTTTATAAATAAATAAATAAATAAATAAATATATATATATGTATATATATATATAAATAAATAAATATATATATATATATATATATATATATATATATATATATATATATATATATATATATATATATATATATATATGTATATATATATATATATATATATATATATATATATATATATATATATATATATATACGAAAAGTGGTGGGCCTTGAGAAGTGTAGCAACACCTCTGGCTGACATGCCAATCAACAGCCAATAAGCCAATCTGACGTCTAAACATGCACATATCGTGTAAGTGCTAACATGCTAATGTTTGTGGAGATTATCGTGATAAGGTATTGGCTAGACAACATCCAAAAATATATTGCTATGTTGGGCTATTGGAGAAGTTGTGGCACTTTTCTGTCGATAATAGATACAAATCAATGGTTGCCGTTTACGTGTCGGGGGGTGGGGTGGTGGTGGTGGGAGGAATCTGATGTTTATACAGCTGTCTTAGGCTTTTTTGTTGAGTAAATAAATAAGACTACTAAAAATAAACATTTATAATAGAAACCAATAAAAAATCGATATCTAAATGTTTAGCAATGGAAAGATTCTGCTTGCTAAAAATTCAGCTAAGGGATGAGCTAAGGGGTTACCTAAGGGGTTAGTTACTGAATCAGACAAGAGTTTAGCTAAGGGGTTAGTTAAGGGATTAACTAAGGAGTTAGCTAAGGGGTTAGCTAAGGAACCTGATTAGTGATCAGTACGGTATTTTCTACTCCCTAATACTTATCAAAATACTAACTGCTTGGTAGCCTCTATGTCTTAAGGAGAGGCGGAGAGAAAGTTGCCATGTAAGGACAGACATCTGATATGTATATAAGGACAGACAACTGCTATGTATATATATATATATATATATATATATATATATATATATATATATATATATATAGATAAGGACGTCTGATATGTATGTAAGGACAGATTACTGTCATGTAAATACTGCCAAAGTGGCATACTGTGAAAGTGGATAGATAGCTACCATGTATTTATGAAGAGTTGGGGGTGGGGTAGATAGCTACACTGTTTTCAAGAAAAGGGAGTGGGCACATAGATGGCATGTATTTCTAAATCAGCACATACATGCCACGTATGTCCAGAGAGGCTGCCAGGCAGATAACGGTTCAGTCCCTGAAGGACGAAATGAGTGGCAGCATCAATACCTGACACGATAACTTATCCACCTCTGATCCACGTATTAAAATGTGAGCCTTCTTTCATGCTCTAACGACAAAACGACTCAGGTGAAAAAAATCGGTTAAATGAGTTAAGTCCACAAGGAATTTTATCGAGAGCTGGTTACATTTTATCACCTGGTTTATTACCTGGTTTCCAGATAGAATTTAGTAGCACGCTCTATACCAGATACTCTAACCCTTTAAAGCAGCTTTAAACTTAGCCTTTAAAGAACATCAAACGTACAATAAAATAGAAATAAGCTTGAATTTTGGTAACGTGGGTTTTTTTGCATACATGTTTAAATATCCACCCAAGATAACACTGACAGTAAAGTATGTCGGGAAGGAAACAATAGACAGACATCTAAAGAGGCCGGCTTTCATGAAATCGCTGGACTAAAATAATGACATCTTTCTTTTACCGCGCCGGTAGGAACGGTAACTCAGTGTTAAGAACGGTAACTCGCCTTCACGAACGGCAACTCTGTAAACATACGCCCACGAGTATATCGCCCCTTTGTTCGAAAATAAACTTTGGTTTCTTTATTGGGGCGTTAAATCGTCTACACTTGCGCTATATTTTTTCTAGTTATCTCCCTTTTACATCCCTATGTTGAGGTTAAGGCCAGATCAAAACGTGTGGTATAACAAGAAAACGCTGACTAGCTAAACCAATGTATCATCTGTTTATATATGAACATATCGCTGTTACAGGTAGGGCTAATATAAGGTTAAGATTGGACTAAGGTCATATGTAATGTTAGGTATGCTCGGGGTCAGCGTTAGGGTCAGGCTTAGATAAAGATCGGCTTATGATTTCAATACTAGGAAAAAAAAAATGATTTGAAACATTACTGCGATTTCAGAAGCACGGAGACAAACCTGCAAAATAAAAACAAATTGGTATATTGGAGTCAATGTTAAGAACCACATACATATGTGATGAAGTTTGGTGTTTTATGCTGCGGTTAGCCTCTAGGACATAGTCCTGTCGTCCCACTACAACATAGGCCAGTTGTCCTACTTGGACATGGACCTTTCGACCCACTAAGACATTAGACAATCGTCCTACTAAGATATAGGCCTGTTGTCCACTAAGACTTAGGCAAGCTGTCCCATTAGGACATAGGACTTCCTTACCACAAGGACATAGGACGAGGACTAGAGCCTTCGGGCAACTCAATAGTATGCCAGTCTTTCCTTCTCTAGTGGTATTTTAACTTACGCTAGTTTTTCAAAATGTCCCCAGTGGTAACCAAAGAAAACCAGTGGTAATCCACCTTTCTTGTGTCAGTTGTAACCCACCTTTCTTGTGCCAGTGGTAACCCACCTTTCTTGTGCCAGTGGTAACCCACCTTTCTTGTGCCAGTGGTAACCCACCTTTCTTGTGCCAGTGGTAACCCACCTTTCTTGTGCCAGTGTAACCCACCTTTCTTGTGCCAGTGGTAACCCACCTTTCTTGTGCCAGTGGTAACCCACCTTTCTTGTGTCAGTGTAACCCACCTTTCTTGTGCCAGTGGTAACCCGTCTTTCTTCTACCAGTGGTAACCCGTCTTTATTCTACCAGTGGTAATCCACCTTTCTTTTGCCAATGGTAACCCACCTTTCTTATGTCAGTGGTAACCCACCTTTCTTGTGCCAGTGGTAACCCGTCTTTCTTCTACCAGTGGTAACCAGTCTTTTTTCTACCAGTGGTAATCCACCTTTCTTGTGCCAGTGGTAATCCACCTTTCTTGTCCCAGTGGTAACCCGTCTTTCTTGTCCCAGTGGTAACCCACCTTTCTTGTCCCAGTGGTAACCCATCTTTCTTGTCCCAGTGGTAACCCATCTTTCTTGTGTCAGTGGAAACCTATCTTACATGTACTTCCAGGTTCGTGTTGGTCTGCCTCTTTCTTTAATACCATGGAATCTAAATTGAAGATATGTCTTTCAGATGTATAAAACTGAAATCTGTGTGTCCTTGGGAAGGGTTGGAATAGATTGAAATAAAAATTATTATGTACACAAAAAAAAACCTAGATATGCATGCCGACCTTACCCCACCCCACTCCCCGTGTATCTGCCAACAGCCTGATAAAATAAACATCTGGATGTTTGACATACTGAGCGTGCGCATTTGGTACAGTTTGGCTGCACATCCGGTCAGTGTGCACCTGCATTAGGGTGGAACAAATCAAAGCGAAATGCATTGTGCTAGTTTCTCCAACAGTTCCTAGAGGTAAACCTCCTTTCTTGCGCTAGTTACTCCAACAGTTCCTAGAGGTAAACCTCCTTTCTTGCGCTAGTTACTCCAACAGTTCCTAGAGGTAAACCTCCTTTCTTGCGCTAGTTACTCCAACAGTTCCTAGAGGTAAACCTCCTTTCTTGCGCTAGTTACTCCAAATGCCCCAAGTGGTAACCCATCTTTCTTATGCTGGCTTCTCTACTAGCAAGGACATAACACCCATTTCTTGTGTCCCCAAAGTAAATTCTCCAGATTTTTAAATACGTTTCATTTTTTGTTTATCCTGAGGATTCCAGGTAGGGGCCTGTCGTGATAACCTTGTCCAAATACACACTGAATGTCTAATCAGCCAGTTTAGGGTTAGGGTAGGTTAGAATGCCGCCCTTCCTGGGACATAGGCCGCTGACAAGAGTTTCGAATGCATCACTGTCCTGGGCTAGTCTCTCCAACTGTCCCCAGGTGTATCCAATCGTCTTGGTGTTTCTTCCAGGTCACGTCTCCAGGTCTTTCTTGGTCTGCCTCTCCTCCTCCTGCCCTGTGGATTCCAGGTGAGGGCCTGTCTTGTTATGCTGACTACAGGCTTCCTGAGTGTGTGGCCAATCCATTTCCATTTTCTCTGGAGGGTCTCTTCTTCAGCTTGCAGTTGATTTGTCAGTTGTAATAGTACGTCA